AGTGTCGTAAGTCGGAGCGTCGTAAGTCGAGGACTGCCTGTATAGAGAAAAATCGGACATTTCATGTGAAACAACCTAATAATTGCTTTGAAAAACCTCGTTCTGCACGCCACTGTGTCGCGAAATTTTCTGTACGTCAGCAAGTCGGTCGCTTTTCAAAGAAGTTTGGGAACTGCTGATCGAGAGAAGACATTTTTGATTGGGTCGAGGTCGAGCGACGCGGCCTATCGAGTTTTCCGACTTCATTCTCTGCTCTCCACTATGTTGCCAGCATCATTTCAGCTCAGACATTCGGGTCATATTGTTCCTGTATTTTCTCCGATGTCGATTCCGGACGGAATCGGTTCCTGGCCGTCGGCAAGAGGCCGCTACTTGTAGATATTGCACGGCTGAGCGGCGTCGAGGTTCTCTTTGAAGTAAATGATGCGACGGAAGCCTTTGCTGGAAAAGCAAAGGGCCGGTGTGCTTTACGGTTCGGGCGACTTTCTTATTTCCAGATTCCTCAAGCAGAACAGAGGCTTGGACATCGGAGGACTATCCCCCCCTGCTTCACTCGATCGGCGCAGAATCGCTATGGCTGACCTAGACCCCCTTTCCTCTTGAAACGGTTCTCGATGTCGTGGCTTGTTGCGAATGTCTCTCTCGGTCGGCGAGCGAAAGTATTCATTCATCCTGTTTCGGCGTCGTTGGAAGCGGTCGGCCAGAACGAGTCAGATGTCTGACGATCGAACACGCTCCTCCCTGCTTGAATTCATTTGCATACATGCGTTAACATCAATAACATTTTTACAACTTACAAATATTTCGGCTACGCGTTTCTACTTTGAATGGAAATATTCAGTTTAGGTACAGTATTTGCATGGAACCGGTTAATGGGAGAAACTCAGACTGCCGACGCTCGACCGAGTCGAGTGAAGAACTCGGAACATGAAACTCAGAGAGAAAGAGGCAGGCACGCAGTAGAACCCTCCAGATGTCTGATGAGATGACTCACGCTGGAACTCTCACGCTCCCTACATTGACGAAGAGGAACTCATGAGTACCCTGACCTTGCGATGGAGGTCTTCCCCATCAAAACTCACAGTATCGTCGACCAGCCGTACCTACCGAGTCCAAGCGGAATGTCTCTTCCTGCTCGAGTGTGAGGATTGCTTCTCTTTGGGCTTGTGGACATACTGGGACTCTCACGCTCGGACAGATTCGCTTCCGTTCGCTCAGTCTGGGTGTTTGTAACCGATCATTTGCGTCCGTTGGCATTGTTTCCTTGTTTCCTTTCGTGCAGTCCGGCCATGTTGCGTAGTGTTTCGTGGGGTTGCGCAAGGTGAAATTGCAAGGAATTTCTAATGGATACGCCATGGAAGATGTCGGGCTCCGCTCTAACCCAGAGGAAAGTGCGCAATCCAATCCAACTTGGAAACTTGATCGTGATTGTTTTACGTGAGGGCCCTGCCTTTAAAGAAGCCCGTACCCAACGTCCGCCTTGATTCAGTGAGTCTGCGTTTCCCTTCCTTTTATTCTGGATTCATTAGAACAGTAAAAGGTAAGCTCCGACCTGGACTCAGATGAAAGAGAGTGGAGAAGTGTCATATTTTTGAGGGGACTGGAAATCCCAGGATGGAAGGAATCACTAAGAATGTTCACATTTTTGACATGCCGTGTATGGGAAGTGCTGACATCACTGGGCCAGCCAATCGCACTCATTTTTTTATGCTAATATGGCAGAAGGGATAGCGGTTATGCTCAGGTAACTGAAGTTTCCTTCGGATACTTCGCACTGTTTAGGTAAGTCCCTGCAAATATAAATGCTGCACGCAAAACTCTACTGGAGAATCATTAGTGGTCAGATAGGAGGGAATGAATTCTCGAGTTCTGGCTTGAGATGGAACTTATGCGACCGTCATCGGTACTGATTCAGACGTTTCAAACGAGTTCCGCTAGGGAGCATGAATAGACCTGAATTAGGAATCCACCTGACCAGAATGTGCACCTTCGCATTTCTTTCGCCAGCAATGAGCTGAAAGTTTTTTTTTACCAATGCAACAAATTATCGTGGGGCAAAGATGACAGAGACGGTATGAAGTTCATATCCATCTGATAGTGCTGAGAAATGAAAACTAAATGAATATTCATTCCTTCCTTTAAGTTTTGAGGTTTTTATGTTTCTCAAATATCTAAGAAAATACGCAAAAAAGTAGCCTCCTCTAAAGATCATTGATGCAGCGACCGACCGAGTTTTCACTTTAGAACCTGATAATAATTATTCACCGGTCTGTTTCCGAGTCTTGAAGCTTTTCATGCAGGATGAAGAGAATCTCTCTCATCCCGCTCGGAGCGTGACGCCGGGACATCCCTTCCACAGTTCGTGTGTTCGTCTGGAAGTTCTCCTGCTCTCACTTCCAAGCTTTCCATGCTTTGAGCGAATGATTTGAGGCGCAGATCTTCATTGCATTGAGGAGGAGGGGGGAAGGGGGGATGGGGAGAATGTGGCATGGCCGTTGATTGTCTCATTCATGTGCGTCCAACAGTTCCGAAAAAGGAACATGCCTTTAAAGAATATTGCCCTCATGCAACTAGATTTATTATGAAATGGTCGAATGTTTGCACCCCCTAGAGTTGCAGATTGAAAACGGACTTAAGGCCAACTTTGCAACTACTTCCAGTTGTCATGAGAAGACAAGAGTTGGCCAATTTCATATATCCAATAGTTGAGTTCGCCAATCCGATCGCATGCACAATCTACAATGAAGCCATTTGCTGTCGTCCGTTCCGAAATTCTCCTCTCGTTCTTCCTGGTGAGTTCTTTTTATGTGAAGAGACGACATAACCGTTCGAAAAAAGGAGGATTTTGTATATTTAGCGTTCTAGTGCGCAATACAGAGGTTGACTAATCTTGCATCAGCTTATTTGTTTGTAACGGCGCAGATCAGAGCCGGGAAAGAAGGGAAGTTTCCTCTTAGACGTTTTTATCTACCTGTTATCTCCCCAATGACACGTCACAGATCCTAATATAACTCTTGGGGTCATATGATCCATGCAGGGATCAGCTGCTCGCCCTGCATGGGTCGTTGGGGCCTTAAGGAAATAAGTGGTTATCTTCTTACGAAATCTTCACACATTTTTGTAGCGCAGGGTGGGCCATAATTATTTACCCACTCGTTCGTTTGGGTCCTATGGACGAATGGAAATGGGTATTTACAGTATGTCCCAGAAAACATGCATAATCGCACTGACCAGCCCGACCGGCTTCCCATCTAAAAAGGCCCCTTAAAAGTCTCGACGGAGCGCCACGCTGACCAGGGATGCCCACAGAACGTGTCAGAAGCGATGGAGGTACAGGCATCCACAATGGGGGGCTTCGGGTTCTCGATCTCGAGAATGGGTTTAGTATAACGGTCCTGCATGTCTATGGGATCGGGCGTGGTTCCTGGGACAACATGCTAGGATTCTCGTTGCATTTATGGCGCACCCTGCGACGGAGGTGAAACATCTCCATGCTCTACTTCTTGAATCAGTATCCAACTGAAGCGTTCTTTTCGATTTATTTTGCAGCTCCGGTATTCACAGTCAAGAGCAAAGCCTTTGAACGTGGACATATGCAAACGTCTCTATAACCGAATGCCCGGAGCGGATAGAAATCCTACTTCGTATCTGAGCTGTGGCCAGTGTTTACCAGGGTTAGTTTCTAATTTTAAGAACATTACAGTAACTCTCTCTTTGCGTGGGCCTTCATTCGAGGCACCATGTTGCAGAATGGTAAAAATGTACGCTCTCTAATAATCTGCATCTCCTCGTGTACTTTCTCGGGAATGCCCGCTCCGACAAATACCGACTCCTCGTTTGGATACTCTGTTTTAGATTCACAGCAGAACCCTGGAGCGGGGACCGCGAATCAGACACTTGCTCACGGCAGTCGAATGAAGTCGGGAAAGAAGGAACGCCCTGGGTGACGATCGCCTCTGTCGGTACAGTTGGAGGCGTCCTTACGGTTCTGGCTACGGTATTTTTGGTCGTCTGGCTCATCCGATTCAGTGAGTCGGTCCAGCATCTCCAAATGACTCAAAACACTTTCGCTTACTTTTGCAATTCTTTTCCGACTATGATGTGATCGTCCGGCAGAGAAGGAAAGCAGGGAGCGCGAGCAGACACAGTCCAAGGAAGCTTCGCTGAAGAACCCTCCAGGTACTTCCTTCCTCAGCCAATCAGGACGAGGCCAGTGAGATCTCAAGCTTGAGATTGTGGTGTAGCGTGTAGCTGCGGTAATACCGCAGTGACAAAAGTGTCTGCTGACACAGGAGCATAAATATCGGTTTATCCCATAAAAAAAAGAGAAAACAAAGTGTAAAAAAAAAAGAGGGAAGCTTAACTTCTTACGTGTATCAGCTCCATTTTTTCCCTTTTGGGAAGGAAAAAAGGAGACCTGGAGACATGGTAAATACCCTGTATAACTAGATTGGGCAGGGCAGTCGAAGATCTCGCGCCGATTTGAAAGGCTGGCGGTCATCACTGTTACCGTCAATTATTAGGCATTTCGATTAGGCATTTCACCGAGGCACACGGTAGTCATGGCCAATTAGTGTTCAGGTTTCGGATCCTCTGAAAATCGCTAACTGGGTCGGATATCACGTTATCACGGCTATCACATTGATGAATCGAGCTAGATAGTTATTTGCCCTTTAGAGGAGTCTAACCTTAGGGGAGATGGATTTTTTTTTGCTCCATGGGCATAACTGCATAGGAAACTAATTTGGCATATATTGTCAGGTGCAATGCAAATAAAGACTGGGTTTCTACTGCTTATAGATGGAAAAGGTAATATTAACAGATTTTCCAAACATTATGCTTCGTCAGTGAAGGCCGGGGTTGGCCAGGACCTACCAGGTCTTTAGTGATCTGCCATTGCATTAACGACATATTCTATTACGTATCACAATGGGATTCGATGGACGAGGTATTACCCTTTTTTTTTTTAACAATGCAGGGTTGAATGAAACCTCCATTGCAGTGGTGAGCGTCAAAACTCTCAGTGGATTGTGACATGAATTGGAAAGCTATGCCTCTATTGGGCGATTTGACGGCATGAGAGATGGTGGCCGCTCCTTCAAATTAGCGTGTGGCTGCAGCGCGTTTCCCATATGCATGTCCAGTCTAGTTATAAGAACCATGTCTCTGGGGAGGTCAATCCTCCTCCCCCCCCCCCCCGGCACTGCACAATCATTGCCACTGAAGGAAAAACAGAAACGCATAAATGCCCTGGTTATTACGTGAAATCAATCCCTATTCGCACAAGATCCAAATGTCGATAGTTACAGAACTCTCAGTCCTCTGCTTGCATGTTTTTAGCAGATCAGGCTATCAACTACCAGGTGTACAATTCTCATCAGGGGCCTAGCGTTCTCTTTTTCCATTCGACCATGAAAGTCTCCATTCAGAATTTTGGAACTTGCATTTACTTTCTTTTTTGACCTAGGTTTTTTTTTAGTGAAAACAATTATGCCTTGCTCTCGGATTATTATAAATTATAAGAGGTTTTCTGTTTTTCTGTACGAGGTAAGGCGAATACAACTCACATGGAAAGCCGGTGTATGTGTCTCCTCAGGATCTCAATATCTTTCGCCTATTTCCAGGGAAAGTTGGGGAGAACTCTACTGATGCTGATGACATATCAACAGCTGCCGCGTCAACCTCGGACATCGGAGAGAACTCTCCTCTAATGCCATCACCAACATCTGCCTCTCCCAGTCGATCCGGATTAGGCGAGTCAGATTTGCAGGTTTTGTCAATAGATATCTCTGGAGCTACTAACTAACTTGCACCAACTGCACATTCCCAGGAGATTCCACGGATAGCCCTGGTAAAACTCGAGAAGAATATGAAGCCATCGATTCGACAGAAAGCTCCCCCTTCGTAAAATCTTCCTCGTCTAGTCAATCGGGAGGAGGCGAGTGAGACTCACGATTTCGATAAAAGGAGGTGGAACACGTGGGTTAAACATATCTCACTTTTATTTTACCAACTCTATTTCCAGGAGAAGACGAGGAAAGCATGACAGTCACTGTGACAACGTCCTGGTCGCATCAAGATGCTATCAAAAGTAGTAAAAGTTGCTTGCTTCCAAATGAAGCCAAGGAGGAGAGTAACATAGGCACTCAAGAAAAAGCAACGTCCTCCCAGGCAGCAGCAAAACCCTCACCTAGCAAGCAAACGATACCGAATATGGTGTCCTGTTTCCCACATCAAAATGCTATCACAAGTAACTGGAAGGATCTGATTGCGGATATGGACGTGGAAAGTGTGGAGAACTATATGATCATCAAAAACAAGTTACCATTGGACAAGCGGGAAGAACTGAAAATGGAGAAGGTGGCAAGAAGGAGAAGGAGCCTCCTCCTCCACTACGTCCACGACCGAGACGAGGATGTATTCCTTGCATTCCGGGATGGTCTCGTCGACGCAGATCAAACCCATCTGGCAGAAAAATTGAAGGCATGAGTGACAACTTGGGCTTTGCGATGGGCAGGAGCCATCATTCCGATCTGCACCTTCAGTCTCATTTGACTGCAGTTCTCTTCATTGTGCATCACGTAAATACATGGGAAATGTTTACTTAGTGTTTCTGCATGCCATATTACCTGCAATAATCACGCAAGATGCGCAAATTATGTGTATATAGGTGTCTGTATTTAAATAAATATTAAGTTGAGGAAAACGAAAACGTTCCTGGTCCTTGCGTGTCCGTAAGAAGAGAGAGTACTGCACAATTTCCTATCAGTCGTCAAATGCAGTATGGTCGATCTGGTCTGCAATTAGTCGGAGATTAAAGTGATTTTTTTTCAATGCTTTTGTTGCCCACTAAAATGCAAAAACGAGGTCCCTTGTAGTCTAGCATTTTCTGCTCAATTTGCTGATCATAAAGAAATTAAAGGATTAGAAGTAAAACACAATCTAAATAAAAACATTCATATATTTTGAAATGTAATTTTTGCCTTTGAATTTTTGGATGGGATTTCGTAGATGCTTCAGTGTTGTGGTTAAAAGCTATTTAGTATTAGAGAAGCAATTAAGTAATACACAATTATGCATGCGTTAGGCTTATCTGCGCAGTAGCCTGGCATGACTGTTCATGGAATGAACAGTCTGTTCATGTATTCTGTTCATGTAGGACTGTTCATGGATCACAATCGTGCAAACTTTGGATACTGAGAAGATATGCAGATTATTGATGCACATATGAATTAATTTTCTTAATAAACCATTTTCAAGACCTTACTGGAGAAGGCTTTTCCCTTTCCAGGTGCCGAATTCGCTGTAATGGGTCTCCCATTTTTATAATTGCCATTCCATTCATTTCACAATTTTTATGACATTTTTATTATCTTCTTCGTTGGAATTTAGAGAAAATCTCACCAAGAGCAAGGCAGAGAAAGGGGAAAGGGGTAGAGAGAGGCTATATTCCGGTATGGAATATGGCCCCTCTCCACTCCCTTTCATCTGAGCCCATGTCGGACCGTGCCTATTCCTTTCCCAATGAAAATAGAAAGGATGAAAGAGGGAAACGCAGACTCACTGATTCAAGATGGAAGTTGGGTACGGGATTCTTTTAAGACAGGGTCCTCAGGTGAAGCAGTCACGATCAAGTTTCCAGGTTGCACTGGATTCCACTAGGTTAGAGCGGATCCCGACTTCTTCCATGACGTATCCATCAGAAATATCTTGCAATTTCACATTGCGCAACTACGCCAAACGTGAACTACGCGACACGGCAGGACTGCACGAAAAGAAACAAGGAAATAACACCAACGGACGAAAATGATCGGTTGGTGAGAGACTGGATCGAGAAGACCTCGATCGCATGGACAGGACACTCACAAGTTCCTCGTCGTCAATGTAGGGAGAGAGTGTTCCAGCGGGAGTCATCTCATCAGACATCTGGAGGGTTCTACTGCGTGCATTTCCTATTTCTCTGAGTTTCATGTTCCGACTTCTTCACTCGACTTGGTCAAAAGCAAACTGAGTTTCTCCAATTAGCTGATTCCATGCAAATACTGTACCTTTACTGTGATATCCATTCAAAGAAGAAACACGTAGCCGAAATATTTGTAAGTTGTAAAAATATGTTATTGATGTTAACGCATGTAGTAAGTGAATTCAAGCAGGGAGGAGCGTGCTTGAACGTCAGTCTTCTGACTTGTTCTGGCCGACCGCTTGCAAAACGATGCCGAAACAGGATGAACGAATTCTTTCGCTTGCCAACCGATAGAGATGTTCGCAACGAGCCGCGAGATATCGAGAACCGTTTCAAGAGGAGTCAAGATCAACGGGAGTACCATTTCGGGCCGATAGAATGAAGCAGGGGGGGATAGTCCTCCGATGTCCAAGCTTCTGTTTTGCTTCTGGAATCTGGAAATAAGAATGTCGCCCGAAACGTAAAGCACTCTACCCCTTTGCTTTTCGAGCGAACGCTTCCGTCGCATCCTTTGCTTCAAAGAGAACCTCAACGCCACACTGCCGTGCAATATCTACGAGTAGAGGCCTCTTGTCGACGACCAGGAACCGATTCCGCCAAGAATCGACATAAGGAAAAATATAAGAATAATATGACCCGAAAGTCCAAGTTGAAAGAAAGCTGGCAACATAGTGGGGGGAGAAACGCACCGGCGGAGGCAGTCGCCACAGAGGACGTTCTTCCTTTTTCTTCTCCTTTCGATTCCGGTACACATTGTTCTACTTCCCCGTTCCCGCTCCCCGAATCTACGAATCTGAAACAGATTGAATAGTACCGAAACAAGGATTCAAAGATACAGGCATTCCCAAGTGAGCATACGGCAACGGAAGACACGGATCAGTGGAGACTGCAATTTTTTTTAAGCTTGCAACGGCGGTGCCTCGAACCACGTTATAAAATAAATGCAATAACATGCATAAATTTAGAGACTGACCCTGATAAACACTGGCCACAGTCCATATATGAGGTACTATTTCTATTCGCTCCAGGCATTCGGTTGTAGACAAGTCCGCATGTATCCTTGGTCAATGGCTTCGCATTCGACTGTGAATTCTGGAGCTGCAACATCATTTGAATAGAACTTTTCAGTTGGGAACTCATGCATGGAAAAGAGAATATAATTATTCCATCAACAAGGAGTGGGTCCTAAAAATGTTCCCTATAAGGTACATAATTAAGGCCCATCCTGCACAATGAAAATGCGGAAAGAGTTCGGAAAAGGACTTAGGTGCGTCTAGTTTCCATAAGGACCCAGCGATGTATTGCATCAGTCCCTGAATGGACAATCTGGATCCCACTCCGATGAGTAATGCCAAGCCCCCATTTCGATGGGGAGCAAACAATATATAAATTCCTTTACGAGGAAACAATCTTTCGAGATCTGCTCAATTAGAAAAGCTCTTGGCTTACTTGCGCCATGCATCATGACTCAATTTTGGCATGTCACATGACGACTCAAATGTGCAAAATTCCATTTTTTTAAAATAATCATTATGTTTAAGTGAAAGAAATCATTCGGAAACTCCATCCACTTCATGCACGGAAAAGGTACATTTCATGACTCCACTTTGAACGACTGTCGATATTTATTCCGATGAAACTTTCAGAAAACAAATTTTGTGGTGTTTCAAATGTGATACGAAAACATCACGAACCTAGATCATCCACAGCGGGTTTTATTAAGTGCCAAACAGGACGCATGTTTTTGCGCCACTCGATATAAGTGGATCGCGCGTTTACGAGCTGGATAAGAAAGCGATTTTTCCTCTTTTATATTATTATGCATTCTGTGCAGAGTCTGAAGTGAGGCATCAAGTCTTCGGCGTCTTACAATATTTTCGGTATGATCCAGTCTCACCCATTACAAAGAGCCTCTCTGAATTAGGAAGCAATGGATTTCAACAAAGGATAGAAGAAAAGCACTCCGAAAATGCAAAATAGTGACGTCAGTCAACCAATTCCTTTCCAGAAAGAGTCCCATTTTCTGTCATCGTCATGCAGTGCGTCTGAGCCTAAGCCTGTCATGGTGTACGCTGAACATCTGCCAGGTTCTCCAGCATCACATGAACAGTGTGAACACCTAGTACACATAATGAGCATGAGCTTCTCATATACATTTGGCTAAGCTGATTCCCCTGTGTTACATGGTCTGGCTTTATGCATTGCATTCCCGAGAGATCCTTCTGTCCTTAGTGTAGGCCTAGGCATGAATTATGCTTTTAGTTGGGAATCTGCTAGACCAATGCCATGGGTCCATTCTCGAACATTCATGACTTCACGAGATGCACATCTCAGGCCTCAAACGCTTCCAGTCATGACTCATTGGAATCCCGAGAGCCTCAAGCAATATGGACACATTGTTCTCTAATATGTCCTTTGATCACGGGTAATACAGAACTATATACAATATGCCGCTAGGCCTCTCTGCGCAGTAGCCAGCCATGATTGCTACGACATGGATTGACACTGCATGGATTCCAGGTAATTCCTGGAGATCACAATCGGGCAAGCTTTGGATATCGAGACCATATACAGATTATTGATGCACACATGAATGAATATTCCTAACAATGAAACATTTTCAATACCTTTCTAGGGAAGGCTGTTTCATTTTCAGGTGCTGAATTTGCTGTGATGGGTCTCCCAATTCTACAATTGCCATTCCTTTCATTTCACACTTTTTACTACTTTCATTCTCTTTGCTGAAAGTGGAAATTAGAGAAAATCTCACCAAGAGCAGGGGAGAGAAAAGGGCGACAACCCAAAGTTTCATTGTGAATGAGAGAATCTCATTCACATCTCATTCTCATGATCCGTGAGTGAATGACCTCAGGCTGCTTCTTTCATTCCATATCGCCTAAAAATAAAATTAAATATTAGGTTGACTTCCGCATCCATGAAACGTGATAGAAAACATGTATCTCTAATGGCTTTGCACCATAGCTAAAAACAGCATGGAAACTCGTTAAAGTCGCTTGTAATATATATCACTATATATATATATATATATATACATATATATATATATA